TACACAAGAATTGGGTGATATGTATGTAAATGCCCAAAAGAATTTAAAAAAAATGGCAAAATTTCCAAATATGTAGGTTTAAATACTGGAAGGAAAAAAAAGCCCTGTATATATGAACTTGAAGCATTGAATGCACATGGAAGCTTTGAAAACTCTTACCATAATTGTAATGATGCTCTTAACTTCACACAACTTCAGACAATTGGTCAGTTAAGGTTAAGGCATGCAGCAAATGAACAATGCACCCAGTTGGGCCAGAGGAAAGTGAATACATTGCATGACTTGCCTCATGGAATCTTGCCATAAAAATAAAGATTACATTAGATTTACATATAAGGACCGGATTTCATAGGATGGACCAGTTTTGGCTAGTAATTATGGCTTGCATTTGAGAATATCACGCCTAGTAGGCCTTTGGTAGCAGGCCTTTGGTGCCAAGTATAAGAGGCAAATATTTTTAAAGGGATAAAGGCTAGTTGTTGTTGTAGTTTATGTGTGTAAATTTCAATCCACTTTAAACAAGGGTTGTAATCTCAAATAAGTTCTTAACTTGAATAGAACTTGCAAGCCATCATCTATGACTCAGTCAACATTAGAAAGAGCTAACTTATAACCAAGCTAGATACCATGAGCACAATAGGATTAAGTTCAGACCATTAACAATCCTACTCTAACAACCTTAACTTACTCAGATTTAATTAGCTTAATTTCGATTCACTTTCACTCCCAAAGTATTAAAACTTCAAAAAAGTAAACACCTAAATCTGTTACAGAAAGCATCCTTAACATTTTCACCATTCATACACAACATCTGCATTTCAGAAATCCTTAGCATCGCTATGCTCCTATCTAAACTGAACTTGCCAGTTAGCGGATTCAGAATTACAAAAAGAATATAGATTATAAGTACAAACATACAATTTTTCCCGCTTTCTAAATCTATGATTTGCATCAACGCTTAGGGTCACTGGTAACAGACCCACATAATACTATATCAGCAGGTGGAATAAAGCAATCCATTGAAAGGCCAGGCACATTGAATGCTACCTCTTCAATGGTCCAGGACTCCTCCATTCTTGTCTTGCTGTGGCTCATCGCTGCCTCGCCGAACCGGAAAAGGCTGACCACCGACCGGCCGGAGTGGGCGATCATCACCCCTTCGACCGCCCGGTAGTCGTTTATGAAGGAATTGATGGTGGTTTCCCAGTAAACGGAGTCGGTTCCAGTGTTGGATTGGATTCGAGTTAGGTGGGAATCCTCCATGTAGATCAAAAGACCAGTTTTTTGGCTGAAATAGCCGAAAAGAACATGGCGAATGATTTCCCCTGTGCCTTCGCTCCTAGCTTTCAGAGTTTGGGAATCAGTGCTCAGTTTAAGAATGAAGCAATCCTCACCATTGACCTTCTTCTCTCCTATGCAGAGCGCATTTGCGAACATGCTCGCAGTGGTCAGGGGATCAAGTCCCTGAAAAAAAAGAGCGATTTTTGGTTTGACATTTATAGATTTTCGAACCGATTTTTCATTGTAAAAAAGGTGGTATTTTTAGTCTGAAATTTGAACCTGGAGAGCTCGGCGAAGGGGACGAACGGGACCTTTTGCGTTGTGAGCGCCGAGCCAGGGAGTGTGACGCCATACGAGCTTGCCATTGGAGCCAGCGCGAACCTTGCTTCCCCCGACGGCTAGCTCAACGTACCACATATGCGGAACCATTTGCCAGAGAACGAAGCCGCCGGTCTCGACCGGAGCGCCGCGGTTCCTCGTCAACTTCGTCATAGTATCGTAATCCGAGACCGCCATCTTTAGCTTCCCCGACGCATAGAAATTTCGAATGGAGCTCTGGATCTTGATCCCTCCCGTAGCCGCGGTATATTGTTGAAGAATGTATTGCGCCGACGAACTTTCCTGCCGGAGCCAACAGAGCATAAGTAAAAAATCTCAGTTTTTGATGCATGCGATGGAGGAAGAAGATTGAGGAGAAGGTAATTAGTACTATTGGAGTGCCCTTAATGCTGAGATCCGGGAAGGCGTGGATGGAGCTGACGTAGGCGGGGGCCAGTGGGGCTCCCATGACGCCGAGTAGAAGACGGATGCCGGAACTGCCGGCATCGTCGGCCTCTGCGGCGTCGGAGGAAATCGAAGGGGCGCGGGAAAGTTGGCCGAGCACCCATCTGCTCCAACCTTCTTTCCGAGAGTCGTAGGCGAAGTATCTAGCAGCGTGTGGATCCGGTCCCTCCATTACCGGTGGGAGGGTCTCGCCGACTGGCCGTAAGCTGCAGGATCTCGCGAAAAAGGAGTCTGGGAGGCTTGAAAGGGAGTCTTTGCGCAGTTGAGCCTTACTCCGGTGAGGATGCAGAAGGTCGACAGCCGGAGACAGGCTCCTCGCAGGGCTCTGAGACCGAGATCGCGGTTTTGATCTCGACTTAACCGGAGAGAGACCTCTCACCACTTCTTGCTTCAAAGCAGAGAAGAATCCCTGCTTCCTTTCCATCCCTCTTCAGAAATAAACAAAGCAAGAACCACAGATGGTCAGCAGAATCAAAGCTTATTAACAAAAACCCAATTTCAGTTGCTAGCTCAGAGTGAAAGGGGGACGGAGGGTAAAACAGGAGAGTGGAGAAGAAAGGGGGAGGTAGAGGACGGTACGAGAGAGACAGAGAATGACGACAACGGAAGAGTTATGCGCTGCAATGGAAGATGGAGAGATGGGGTTGGGAAGCCAAATAAAAAGGTGCGAAAACATAACCGTTGGAGGGTAAACGTGGTTAGGGCTGTCAATTTGACTCTTTGTTCGTCAACACCTCTTGTTTGATTCGTTAAATAACTCGTGTTCGGCTCGTTCGTTAAGCTTGAGTTAACAGAAATTTGGCTCCAGTAAAACAAGAAAAATTACATATTTATCCCCAGCTTATAATTGGAAATATATATTTTTTTATTGCAAATTATAAAAATGTTAGATAAATATATATATTTTTCTGTCTTACTTGTGACGTGGCTCTAGTCTAACTTTTTTAAATTTTGAACCGTATTTAATCATAAATGAATACATTAAACTCTAAATTTACAATTCTACCCAACCTCCAAACAAGAGATGGAAAATATTTTTAAATGTACAAATAAATATTAAATTTTGAACTGATTTGTGAAATAAATATATAATAATAGATATTTTTAACTTAATTATAAAAATAACAGTTTTTGAATCTCGATTGATTATTGATTTTTTGTTTGATCGAAATTAATTATGATCGCATCAAAACTAATCAGATTTAATGTTTTAATGATCATATCAAGAACATCTTAAATTTTTGTAAAGTAATTGTTACTTTAAATTTAAAAATATATTTTTAATTAATGAAATTAAATTTTTTTTATGCTTAGTGTTTAATAATAAGATTTTAGATTATTTTTTATTTAAAAAAAAAGGTTGTTCTTGAGTTGGTCAGTTGGTGTTGCAGCTTCCATTCATGATGATGATGTTGGATTGATCAGCTATATAAAATGTGACGTTTGGCATGTGTGTGCCTGTGCTTCGACCTTCTAACTCCATACAAAAAATTAGAGGTAAGAAAACTTATTCTTAATTAAATGATATTGTATTGTTTAAACTCAGTTTGTCCTTTATGAATCACGGTTAGAGAGTTAGAATCGAGTGAAGAATTGAGGAAAAGGTCTATTTTTCTATTTTTGTCCCGTACTTATAGATGCTTGTTTTGTACAATTACAGAAAGAAAAGAAGTTTATCGAAATAGTGCTTAGTGTCATTAAGGTACGTATTGATCATATAGATTTTATGTTATATTTGTATTGCAATTTAAATTTCAACATTGGTGGTAATTGGTTGGTTAATTGGCTTGAAGACGACTGATTAAGTGACCGACCGAGTGACATTTGTCCTCTCAGGAGTACTCGTTGGACGTCGAGGCATTCAACCGAATGGTGATATTGTCTAAGTGCCTTTGGCACGGTCGACCAGAGCAGTTAGTAGTAAGGTGGTTGTTTGGTCTAGACGTAGGATTAGTCGATCGAATATGATCGGTTGGCTTTTTCGTTGTGAGTCGTGGCTCATTTGTCATTATACTCAAGTCTTACAGGGCTCATGTCTCACGTGTCTGGTTTGTTCGTTGTCTCAGTTGTATCTCCCAATCTTACAAGGTCTTGAGCAGATCTTTGTCACGATTCACGCAAGGTATTCGACGAGACTCGCTGCAGGGATGATTCACGCCTCACTTTCGGTGGGTCTTGCCGCTACCTAGCGGGAACCATCTCCGGATCTTGAACATATCCCAAATTTGGAGACGCGGCTTTAATTACACTCAAGGAATATAGTGTAAGACAAGAGAAAGAGGGAGAGACAAAAAGTGAAATGCGTAATAGTAAACAGTGATTTAAGAGATGTTTGTAACCTTTTATTCAAAAAATGATCCCCTATTTTAAAAGAGGGGGTATAATATGTGAAGTTGCATTTATACACTTTCTTCAGTGAGCATTGTACATGGTATTGTAGTTACATTACAAATGTGGTCCCAGAGCCCCGAAACCTGGCTCCTCTTATGCTCGACTAGCTAGATTGGCAAGCCCTTCTTAGGTGTTACTGGTTGGCTAAGCTATGTAGGCATGTCGATCGACCTGGTCTGGTGATTGTTGGTCAGTTAATTTTGATCTTGTCAGCTGGTTGGGCTCTTATCGGCGAAGGGTCGGCGGGATTGATTCGCTAACTTGGGCTGACATGTTAGTTGAGTCTGACAACGGTCCCTCGATCACTGACAGGGAGCTCCTGTATGCAGTGCAAAATTAGGCTATTGTGCAGCTGTCGAATCATCGTAATTCGATATATTGCCGCTCTTAGACGAAGAGATCTCGGGTTGAGACTCTTCTCACTTATTCTTGTTGGTGGTCAGAGGGGTTGTTGAATACTCCTAAGGGAGATGCAGGACCCGAGGGATAGCTTCCCCCTTGGATTGGTTTACTTGTTAACAGAAAATTGACTCTAGTAAAACAAGAAAAATTACATATTTATCCCCGGCTTATAATCGGAAATATACATATTTTTATTGAAAATTATAAAAATGTGAGATAAATATATATATTTTTCTGTTTTACTTGTGACCTGGCTCTAGTCTAACTTTTTTAAATTTTGAACCGTATTTAATCATAAATGAATACATTAAACTCTAAATTTACAATTCTACCCAACCTCCAAACAAGAGATGGAAAATATTTTTAAATGTACAAATAAATATTAAATTTTGAACTGATTTGTGAAATAAATATATAATAATAGATATTTTTAACTTAATTATAAAAATAACAGATTTTGAATCTCGAGTGATTATTGATTTTTTGTTTGATCGAAATTAATTAATGATCGCATCAAAACTAATCAGATTTAATTTTTTTAATAATCATATCAAGAAAAGCAATTGTTACTTTAAATTAAAAAATATATTTTTAATTAATGAAATTAAATTTTTTTTATGCTTAGTGTTTAATAATAAGATTTTAGATTATTTTTTATTTAAAAAAAAAGGTTGTTCTTGAGTTGGTCAGTTGGTGTTGCAGCTTCCATTCATGATGATGATGTTGGATTGATCAGCTATATAAAATGTGACGTTTGGCATGTGTGTGCCTGTGCTTCGACCTTCTAACTCCATACAAAAAATTAGAGGTAAGAAAACTTATTCTTAATTAAATGATATTGTATTGTTTAAACTCAGTTTGTCCTTTATGAATCACGGTTAGAGAGTTAGAATCGAGTGAAGAATTGAGGAAAAGGTCTATTTTTCTATTTTTGTCCCGTACTTATAGATGCTTGTTTTGTACAATTACAGAAAGAAAAGAAGTTTATCGAAATAGTGCTTAGTGTCATTAAGGTACGTATTGATCATATAGATTTTATGTCATATTTGTATTGTAATTTAAATTTCAACATTTGCGGTAATTGGTTGGTCAGTTGGCTTGAAGACAACTGATTAGGTGACCGACCGAGTGACATTTGTTCTCTCTGGAGTACTCGTTGGTCGATCAAGGCGTTCAACCACATGGTGATATTGTCTAAGTGTCTTTGGCACGGTCAACCAGAGCAGTTAGTAGTGAGGTGGTTGTTTGGTCTAGACGTAGGATTAGTCGATCGAATATGATCGGTTGGCTTTTTCGTTGTGAGTCGTGGCTCATTTGTCATTATACTCAAGTCTTACAGGGCTCATGTCTCACGTGTCTGGTTTGTTCGTTGTCTCAGTTGTATCTCCCAATCTTACAAGGTCTTAAGCAGATCTTTGTCATGATTCACGCAGGGTATTCGACGAGACTCGCTGTCGGGATGATTCACGCCTCACTTTCGGTGGGTCTTGCCGTTATCGAGCGGGAACTATCTCTGGATCTTGAACATATCCCAGGTTTGAAAACGCGGCTTTAATCACACTCAAGGAATATTAGTGTAAGACAAGAGAGAGAAGGAGAGACAGAGAGTGAAATGCATAATAATAAACAGTGATTTAAGAGAGGTTTGTGACTTTTTATTCAAAAAATGATCCCCTATTTAAAAAGAAGGGGTATAATATGTGAAGTTGCATTTATACACTTTCTTCAGTGAGCATTGTACATGGTATTGTAGTTGCTTTACAAATGTGGTCCCAGAGCCCCGAAACCTGGCTCCTCTTGTGCTCGGCTAGCTGGATTGGCAAGCCCTTCTTGGGTGTTATCGGTTGGCTAAGCTAGGTAGGCATGTCGGTCGACCTGGTCTGGTGATTGTTGGTCAGTTAATTTTGATCTCGTCAGCTAGTTGGGCTCTTACCGACGAAGGGTCGGCGAGATTGATTCGCTAATTTGGGCTGACATGTTAGTTGAGTCTGGCAGCAGTCCCTCGATCACTGACAGGGAGCTCTTGTCTGCAGGGCAAAATTAGGCTATTGTGCAGCTGTCAAATCATCGTAATTTGATATCTAGCCGCTCTTTGACAAAGAGATCTCGGGTTGAGACTCTTCTCACTGATTCTTGATGGTGGTCGGAGGAGTTGTTAAATACTCCTAAGGGAATTGTAGGACCCGAGGGATAGCTTCCCCCTTGGATTGGTT